GCACACAAAACAGGGCAGGATGCTCTCCCAGGTGCTCACCACCTCTCTCAGGTGGTACAAACAGTGACCATTGTCACCACCAAGCAGAGAACTATGGCTGATAGCCTCAGGCTCCAAACACTATGACAGGAAGCTATGAAAACATATTGATAATGAATAATTACTAAGAAATGTTATTAGGTTAAAAACAAAGAAAGCAAGTTGGATGTAGAGGCACACACCTGAGTGCTAGCGTGTGGAAGTCGGATAACCACTTCAAGGCCAGCCTTGAATAATGTAAGATAGAGAAAGCCTAGAAAAGAAAAAAAAGGAAGAAAATCAGAAGCAAGGAAAGGGGAGTAGGGAGAGAAAGAGAGAGAGGAGGGGAGTAGGAGGGAAGAAGGGAAGGGAAAGAAGTAAGGAAATAAGCAGAAGATATCAAACGTTACTGAAACTGCCTCATAACAAGTCCTTCACTTTGTTTCTCTTATCATACAAGTCCCCAGAATCCAGTCATTTTCTTGGGTATATCAATCTCTCGGTGATTATCACCGTTCTCCCAAGATGTTTCCTTACACAGAAGTGTCACCTCTTTGCTCCCACACTCTTTTCTGGTAGTATCTGGTCCCCCTTCAAGTTTAGTATAGTGTCCCTGCCTTCAGAAATCCTTCCAGACTCTGCAAGTGGTTGGTGTCCCTTCCTTTCCTTTGGCCTCCCTTTGACACCACATACTGCACTATAGCTCTTACTCTGGGCTGCCTTCCCCATCTGCCTAAGAGTAGCCTAGGAGACCAAGCCTCCTATGTGCTGACAAGATCAGGTTCTCCATGCAGGCTGGGGAAGCCACCTACCAACTAAGCTGTGAGCCCAACATACCACTTTTCAGAACATCTAATGTGGGAGTAGTAGCTCACACCTCTAATCTTAGCACTTGGGAGGTGAAGAAGGAAGACTGGAAGCTTAAGACAAGCCTTACCTATGCAATAAACTTGAGGCTAGCATGGGCTATCTGAGACCATTGCAAAAACAAATAAACAGCACCCTATATAGTACAGTGGCCTCTCTTTTGTTTGCTGTGGTTTCTGTTACTTGTGTAGTCGACAAAGAATAAAACATACTAAATTGAAAAATTCACAAGTTTTAAATAACATTCATTACAGTATATTGTTATAACTGGTCTGCTGGACTATTGGCTATCTCTAACCACTTGCAGTGCCTAGATTATAAATTTAACATTATCATAGATACATATGCAAAAGAAAAAGTTTTATACTAAGATCATTTCCATTCATGGTTCAGAGTATCTGCTAAGGAGTATTATGATGTATTTCCTGTGGATTTGGGAGGTGGGTGACATCTAAAATTCACAATTAAAAATGATTTGGGGCAGGGAAGATGGCTCAGTGGTAAAGTGCTAGCTGCACAAGCATGAGGACCTGAGTTCAGACCCCAGTACCACATAGAAGGCTGCTTGTGTGTGCAATCGCAGAGCTGGGGAGGTGGAGTCAAGTGAATCCCAGAGCTGGCCAGTCAGATAGTCAGCTGAATTAAGGTTCAGTGAGAGACTTTGTTTCAAGGAATATGGTGGAGTAACTGAGGCCAACATTCCATATCAGCCTTTCACCACAAGCATAGGTATTCATGTGCACTGGCACCCACATGTATATCCGAAGCCCACATATCACACACACACACACACACACACAGAGAGAGAGAGAGAGAGAGAGAGAGAGAGAGAGAGAGAGAGAGAGATTGATTTCTGTCTCTGAGCCAGCTCTCCCAACATACCTGCCCCCTATGACATGGTTCTCTGTGTACTCAGTTTTTTGAGAACAAAGTCTAAATCTTTGGCCCAAATGCTCAATGTTTCAAAATAAAAATGCAACAGAAACCAAAGCATTGAGTTCAAAATCTTACCCTCTTTAGTTTGGTGGCCAAGTTTTCTGTTAGCTATGTAAGATCCTAGTCATTGTGCCCCAGTTCCTTTGAAGCTCAAAAGTGGACAGGGAATTTACAAGGCTGCCTGCTAACCCTAGAGAGGGGCTGCTGTTTTATCTTAAAATATGTGTATAATATATCACTGCTGGGAGCTGTCAGAGCCTTCCCAGGACCTGTGATGAGGTCTTTACTCTATGAATCTTGAAGTGGAAAAAAAATGCCTGAAGGAAAAGACAAAAACAAAAACAGAAACAGCAAAAGTGGTTCCAAGAAGCATTCCAGAGGGTCTTCTTCTTAATGTAAATGATCAAGTGTGAGGTGAAGATGCAGGCAAGGCTGCAGCAACTCTCTACTGCCCCTGGTGGCAACACGATCCTCAGGATTCTACCCCACCCTTGGATTCATTCTTCGTTTCTTTTCCATCCATGGTTTTCAAGGGGCTCTCTGTGTGCCAAGACCAGCGAACCTCCAAAATTTTTACTGAAGTGTCAGGAATCTAACACATTGTTCCCATTTTCTTTGCTTCTGCCCAGATGAGGATGGCTGGTTCTCATGACTGTGTAACTTCCTTTCTGTAGCAGACCCAGGTGCCTAATCTGACCGTGCAAACCAACCAAAGGCAACAGGGACAGATTGCCATGCTCGATACATAGTCCTGGCAGCATAAACTTACCCTTAGTAAAAACTCCCCAGCCTGAAGCCCCCAGAAAGGGCCAGTGCTGTGACGAATGCTGCTTCTGGAGTACCATTCCCATGATAGCCTGAGAGGGGGGAAGAGAGAATCTGATGGCCCACCAGCCTGCAGGTCAGTGTCCAGGGGCTCGCAGGTGCCCTAAGATTAAAGTAAAAAGGAATGAACCTTGGTGGCAGTCAAGGAGCTAAGCTTCCCCCAGGAGACAAATTCCTAAAGAAGCTCCTGAATCTTGAAATTGGACTCTTCTTGGGGGGGGGGGGGGGTCACTAGAAATCAACCCTCTTTACTTGGGGATAAATGTGGCCCTGCCTATGAGCAGACCAGGCCAGATACTGTGAGAAAGAGCAAAAGCAATGTGCCTGTAAGTCCCCAAAGGTGACAGAAATAGCCCTCCCACATGCAACTACTGCGGTGCCTTCCTGTGTCTCTCTGTCTGATGACAGAGCTGCCTTTAATGGCAATCTCATTCAGGGCAATTGGTAAAGACTCAAATGGCCATTCTGAGGTCATGAGGTCTAAATCCAGAAAATTGAGGCTGCATCAAAATAAAGCTTAATAGTCTGACAAAAACAGCAAACATGAATTATCCTTGCTTCTCCTCCCTGCAGATATGTAACTAGCTTGCACCTCATATTTCCTAGAAGGCAAAGCCAGTAGTACAGACAACTTTTAAGGAGAGGTAAGGAAGAATGTACAACAGGGCCATGACTAGCAAGAGGTCTATGTGTTTCCTATCATGGATAGGAGGGTGTTGGTACTCAACAAACAATAGATAAGTTTAGTTAAAACTAAATTTGCTTCATAAGTAGAACATATAAGGAAGAACAAAAGAATTAACAAAAGATCTCTACTATTTAATATTTCACAAGTATTAAAGTTACCTTCTGAATCTGGAGAGATGGCTCAGTAGTTAGGAGAGCTTGCTGCTCTTTCAGAGGATTCAAATTCTCTCCTCAGCATCCTCAATGGGTGGCTCACAACAGCCTGTGTAATTCTAAAACTGGGGGACCCAATATTCTCCTTTGGCTTCTATGGGCACCAGAACACACAAATGAAGTTACCTTCATAATAACTTACAAGTTAAGTTATAGCTTAACTCTGAAAGTGAAAAATTACTGAAGGAACCAGTTAATTTCTTAAAACCTTAAGTGTGAACAAAACTGGAGTCTTTATTCACCAGTGTGACTCACAAAAAAAGGTGTGTGTGGCCAGAGTTCAATGAAGCTAAACTCCACCATTGGGCTGGAAGCCATATTCAAACCAGGCCTAATGGCTGCTGTCTACACAGCCGCCAACCAGAGCCCACAGACAGAGACCTGCTGAGTCTACATTAGCATGAGAGGCAGAGTGCTTACTTAAAGTGTACGCAGCGCCAATATATAAACCAAAACCACAAAAGTGTGAGTTCCACAGGAGACCCTTTCAAAAATACATAAAAGAAAATGAGACATGCCCAATTAGTAAGTCAGTACACAGTCCTATTTCCTGGCCCTTCCCCTTTGCACACACAATTGAAAATTTCACCTGATAAACTTAGCATTAATAACCTCTTACCAAATCTCCAATATTGGGGCTGGAAAATGGCTCAGAAGGTAAGTTCACTAGCTGCTCTTGCAGACGACCCAGTTCCTAGAACCCACAAGGCAGCTCAAAATCATGCATAACTCCAATTCCAGGGGATTGGACACCATCTTCTTGGCCTCCACAGGTACCAGGCACACATGTGGTACACATATACACACGTGGACAAACATTTATACAAATAATTTTTTGTCTCTAATATTGGCTTTGTCTTGCTGAGACTGTCTCTTCTTCCCCAGGTACAGACAAGGCAGCAACATGATGAAAGCTGTGATGGGCAGCATAGGGGACCTGCTCTGGGAAGTATCCTAAAGACATTTTAAAGTTCAGTGATATTGATGACCAAAAAGAGAAGCAAGACACAAAACTTTCTAAAACTTGCAACTTAAACCTTTTGGGAAAATAATTCTGTAAATTTTTTTGAAGGGCTAGAGAGATGGCTCTGTGGTTAAAAGCACATTTCTTGTTCTTGCAGAGGACTTAGGTCAGTTCCTAATACTCACAAAGTGGCTCACAGCCATCCATAATTCAAGTTTCAGAGGATCTGATGTCCTCTTTTGACCTCTAAGGGTACCAGGCACATTCAAGCAAAACACTCACACATTTAAAAACAAAAAAATTGAGACAAGTCCACCTGGATGACCTGGAACATGGCTATCAGCAAGTATTAAAATACTTAAAGTATTGGATGTAATACAGAGCCCCAATGTGCCTACTCATCCATCAAATCACCGGGTAAACCAGAGGATCATGCAATGCATCTGTAACATGTCACTATGACCACTCTCCAGTAATGAGACAAACCAACTTCCTTCTCATATGGCTTTTATAAAATGCACCAGTTCCACAGTGAATATCTTTTAGAAAATTTCACCTAAATCAAAGAGGAGTCCAGAAATGAAACTGCAGCAGATGAGGGGGAAAGTGGAGAATGCGGCGGTCACCCTGGACGCTGACCTTCGTTCTCCAGAGTCCATGCTCAAGGCTAGAAGGATCAGCTGAGGCAGGTCCTACCTCCCCTGCGGGGGCCTGAGCTGTAACTCGCGCTCCAGCTGCTCTGCAGTCAGGGTGCCCTGGATGGCTTCACACCCGGGGTTGAACACAGAGTAGGCACTCTTCTCCCCCTCTTTCTTCTCCTCGGGACCCCGAGTCCCTACATACATCCAGTAAAACATAGACAGGACAAAATAAGCCAGGCCAAATTCCAGTTCCACAAACAGACCCAGCAGGACCAACCAGAGAAGAACCTTCAAGAAGGTGATGTTAGTCAGGAGAGACTGGTGTCGAGATGAAGGCAGATGGACCGCTGCACTCTGTGGAGGCTGCTGAGCTTCTTCCTAGGACACAGAAGTAAGGAAGTAAGAATGGGAGGGAAACAGAGTCAAGAGGATCCAATTAATTGGAAAAGGCAAAACTTAACTGCTCTAGGTCAGTTGCTAGCTCACTGATTTCTATTTTCTTGCATTCTTCTCTAAAGCAATCATTGCCAGAGCGCTTAGACGCCCTTGTCCAAACAAATTAACACTGATTGGCCTTAGTAATATGCGACCCCCACAAAAACCTGCCAGTATTGAGTATGAGATCCATTCATGGGAGCCATTTCTTCAGATTAGTTGGCTGCTAACAAAACCTCCTCTGTGCCCCCAACAGAACCTGACCAATAATTGATAACTGTTGTATAAGGGGGAGCGGGCCGCATCCTGCAGCCAGGCTAGCTTAACCCCCGAAATAAGCACACAGAAATTGTATTAATTAAATTACTACCTGGCCCACTATATCTAGCTTCTTATTGGCTAACTCTCACATCTTGATTAACCCATTTCTATTAATCTGTGTTCACCACGAGGTTGTGGCTTACCAGTCTAACTACTAACTAGCGTCCGTCTTGGGCAGGAGAAGCATGGCATGTGCCATACTGCTTTCTTCCTCCCAGCATTCTGTTTTGTCTACTCCACCCACTTAAGGGCTGCCCTATCAAAAGGCCAAGGCAGACTCTTTATTCAACCAATGAAAGCAACACACAGACAGAAGATCCTCCTACAACAGATAATGCCGCAGCTGCAGTACTTGTCCCCCAGTCACAGCCAACACACTTGTGCTGATTTGATTAGGTGGGTTGAAATATCCAGAGTAACTCAGTTCTAAAATGGAGACCATACCCAAAACAGGAAACAAAAATCCCTTTCACATTAAAAAAAAAAGGCCATGACGCCCACTAAGGTCATTACCCTACACCACACTATCCTATCCATGTCTTCATCGTTCATCCCAAGGCCTGGGAAGCATCTTCTAACGAGATTCCTTGCTTCCTCTCTCTTTTCACTCCCCAAGCCAGCCTGTGCACAAATGTTCAACGAGTTCTCTAAACTAACTACCTTTACCCACACATCTGCAATAAAATCCAATGGCCTGCATGTTAAAAGTCAAAATTCTTGTGGGAAGACCCAGGTCAGGTGCTAAGGGAAGCCCCTGGTATGTAGGTCACTTTAGGAGCTTTGTCTGCTATTTTCTAAGTTTTTGCAAGTGTCTTTTGGATACATAGCAAGAAATAGGTTTTATACTATAGCCCAGTACACAGGTGTATAGAAACCAAAATTAGTACTATCTGCCTGGAAAAGCTCTCTTGCATGCCAAATTATTCAGCAACTTTAAAGGGAACAAGATCCTATGTTGATTTTACCATCCATGAATGGGTCATGACTTGCATCTTGAAAAATGAGGGCCTAAAAATTTCCTGCCCTTTTTATTTAATTAGGTGCTGAATGTGGGATAGGAAGATGGCAAACAAAATGCCAAAGGGAACGAACACAGGAGAACATCTGAAAATTCCTCTAACTGACTGAGAACTGTGTCTAATCCCGTCTCCCTTTTCCACAACGGCAACGTACAAAGTGTTTGTGCTCATACATTACTAATAGGCACGACTCAAAAAGCACATTTCCACGACTCCAGTAGCAAGCTGCTTCCTAGCTGAGGGCCCTTTCCAGAGGAGGACAAAGGCAGAGACAAACAAAGGTTCAGAAAGTGAGATTTGGGTTGGGGAAGCGCACTAGAAATTGACATCGGGTGTCACTTCTATTGCTTTCCACATTTATTTTTGCCACAGGATCTCTCACTGAACCTGGATGTCATCAATTAGGATAGACTGGCCAGCCAGAGGAGCTAAGATTACAATTCACCAAGTGCAGCTTTTTGTGTGGGTGCAGGGGATTGCACTCAGTTCCTCACACTTGCATGAGCTGTCTCCTTAGCTCCAGAAAGACCATTTGAACAATCGAGCCCTTTGAATCAAAGATGGGAGGTCAGGAGTTGCAGACCAGGATGGAGAATGAACCTTCAGGGCTGAATTTCTATATTAGGGGCTTTTCTAGATAGGGCCATAGATGGCAAGTTCCCAGGGGATTGAACAGTTACAAGCTTTTAACGACAAAGTGACACAACCTCAACATTTGGGGGACTACTTTCCTCCAGGAAAACTTGTGGAGGGAGATGAAGGACATGGATACTGCAATTTAGAAAATTGTAATAAGAATTTTTTATACCATGGCAAACACAGAAAGGTTAAATATAGTCAGTGAAACGAACCTCAAGTCAAGTCCCTTAAGAAAGGGAGAGTGATTAGTGCCACTGCCAGTCCCAGTCCCACCCCAGAATTCCCTCTCATCAATTTCCACATTTTTAGTAAAAGAAGCTTTCTCTTGAGTTGAGCTTCTCTAGGCTCAACTCAGTGATTTCATTTTCCTTCAGAAATGAGTTGAGAATGCTTTGTGTGGGTTAGACATTGTCTTTGTTTGTTTGTTTGTTTGTTTGTTTGTTGAGATAGGGTTCTGAAGCTCCTGTAGACCAGGCTGGCCTCGAACTCACAGCAATCCGTTTGCCTCCGCCTCCAGAGTGCTAGGATTAAAGGTGTGCGTCACCACTGCCTGGCTAGACATTGTCTTTAAACTGGAGCCAGTGGCAAGGGCAGAGAGGGGAAAAGATGCATTCTCAAGCCTATTCACTGATGCCTAATCACAGTTACCCAAAGACAAGTGAGCTGTACAAACTGCACCAAAGGAAATGATGGTTGAGTGGCTGTGGGGTGGGGGGAACCTAAAGACTGCAGAGAGAATAAAACTGAGCAGCCATGTCCTACTAAAAGAAATTTCCTTAAACTAAATATGTTCAGTTTCGGGGATACTTGGGGAACCAGGAATGTTAAACATGCAGAGGTGATTCCTCAATTAAGGAAATAAAATGCCCGCATCCAGAAAGCTTGGAGTGGATATTGTTAATGACCTGGTGACCTTTTACTTTCTGTAGAGGCAGACCTCATCTAAACCCCCAGAAGCATTATCTCAGACTCTCCCTCCCTACACCCTCATCTTTATCTCCCAGTTCAAAGAACCCATCTTGAGGGGAGGTGTCACATGTACTTTATAGCCTGCTGACCTCTGCTGTCTCAATCAGAGACCACACCAGGTCCTAGGCCTTTAGCTTCATGGTCACACTTACTTTGTAAAGAAGTTTCTAAGTGGAGTACAGACCTAAACAGAAAATTCTCAAAAGAGTTCTAAACAGAGTTCAGCCACTCTAAAATTGCTAAAAGACACTTAAGAAAATGTTCAAGATCCTTAGTCATCAGAGAAATGCAAAACAACTCTGAGATTCCATCTTATACCTGGTAAGAATGGCCTAGATCAAAAAAAAAAAAAAACTTATGCTGGAGAGGTTGTGTGGAAAAGGGAACACTTCTGCATTGCTGGCGGGAATGCAAGCTGGTACAACCCCTTTGGATGTCAGTGTGGCGATTTCTCAGAAAATTAGGAAACAACCTTCCTCAAGACCCAGTAATACCACTTTTGGGTATATATCCAAAGGATGCTCAATTGTGCCAGAAGGACATGTGCTCAACTATGTTCATAGCAGCTTTGTTTGTCATAGCCAGAACCTGGAAACAAACTAAATGTCCCTCGATCAAAGAATGGGTAAGAAAAATGTGGTACATTTACACAATGGAGTACTACACAGCAGAAAAATATAATGACAGCTTGAATTCTGCAGAAAAATGAATGGAGCTAGAAAACATTATTTTGAGTGAAAAAAACCCCAGACACAGAAAGATAATTATCACTTGTACTCACTCATACGTGGTTTTAAAACATAAAACAAAGAAAGTCATCCTACAAATCACAATCCCAGAGAATTTAGACAACAATGTGGATACTAAGAGAGACTTACATAGATACAATCTATATGGGAAGTAGAGAATAGAAGAAGACAAGATCTCCTGAGTAAATTGGGAGCATTGGGACCTTGGGAGAGGGTTGAAGGGGGGAGGGGAGAGGCAGGAAGGGGAGCAGAGAAAAATGTAGAGATCAATAAATATTAATAAAATAAAAAAGAAGTTTCTGAGTAGCCAGACCTTAAGCTTTACTGTGTAGTTGGAACTGGAATAACTTGATTGAAAGCCTTTTTCCAAAATCTATTGTGTTTAAATATGCCTACAATAAACTACCTGGCATCAGATTTGCCAAAATTTGATCCATATTGATGGAATCAGTCTGAACAGTTTTTATTCTTATCTCTTCAAGTTTCCTGCCATGACACTGCAGGGACTACCCTCATGCAATAATGGATCAACTTAAAGGAAATCATTTTTAGGGTGGGGGGAGTTCAGACAGGGCTTCTCTGTGTAGCCCTGGCTGTTCTGGACCTTATCAATAGACCAGGCTGGTCTCGAACTCACAGAAATATGTCTGCCTCTGTCTTCTGGGTGCTGGGATTACAGTGTGTGTCACCACCACCCAGATAGGAAATAATTTCAATGTGAGCAAGATAAGAAGTTGTTTCTGGTACAATATGAACTGGGGATGAAGTTCAGCTTTGTTTTTGACATGGTGTCTCACTTATATAGCCCAGACCAGCTTCAAGTTCACAATCCTCCTGTCTTAGGCTCCTGAGTGCTATGATTACAGGCATGCACCCACTATACCATTTTATTTTGGGGGTGGTCGTGAAGATGGTCCCAAGGCCCCTGAACATGTTAGTCAAGTGCTCTACTACTGATTTATATTCCTGTATTTATTTATTAATGTATTCATTATCTTTCTCAGCAGTGCTGGGGGTCAAATCTAGTATATCATGCATGTAAAAGAAGCACTCTACCACTGAGCTACAACTCCAGCAATTAAACTTTTTTAAAAAAAATTCTGAGACAGGGTCACAGTCGAGTCTTGAACTTGCAATCCCCTGCCTCAGTCTCCTAAATAACTAGGATTACAGGTCTTCACTGTTCAAGAAAATCCCCCCCGCCCGTTCCCAAACAAGGACCATAAAACACACCAAAGACTTCAAAACAGCTGCCACTCATGGAATTCAGGAAAGCAGCCCACCCCCATCACACACACCAGGGCCCAGAGGTCTCACCCTGAGTCCAGAGGTTGTACAAACAAACTGACTCCAAAGACTCAAAAAGCAGTTTATCCAGAAATGCAGTTTCTGGCTCTGGCAGTCACTCTCTCCCCTCCCCAACCCTCCATGGCATGTTCCCTATACTCTCAGACAATGAACTGAAGGGTTTGGGTGTGTCAACTTCTTAGACCAAGAAATCTGTTCTCACTGTTAAGAGACCAAACTGAGTCTATCCTTCCATTTCCTCTGCTGACTTCCTACAGCTGGCAGACCCAGGTATGTATTTGGCTTGTTTTGTTTTGTTTTTGTTTTTGTTTTTCAAGACAGTTTCTCTGTAGCTTTGGAGCCTGTCCTGGAACTATCTTGTAGACCAGGCTGGCCTAGAACTCACAAAGATCCACCTGCCTCTGCCTCTTGAGTGCTGGGATTAAAGGCGTGCACCACCACCGCCCGGCTTGTATGTGGACAAGAAACTAAGGCCTTGTGATTGCTGAAAAAGCATAGTGTGCTGGTTCATTTCTTGTCACGCTGACCCAAACTAGAGTCTTCTGAGAAGGACTCTCAATTGAGAAATGAGATCTGCCTGTAGACAAGTCTATGTCCTGTAAATTAAAATAAATCCTTTCCTCCCCAAGTGGCTTTTGGTTATGGTGTTTATCACAGTAACAGAAACAAAACTAGAACACACATTTTCTCCTTGGAGTGTTTTATATTTCCACCCAGACATTCCCACCTCACAGGCAAGTCTCCCTGCCAGGATGAGAACTACGTGAAGACACAGATTCAATTGGATATTAATCCAACTTTTTCCACCATGATCACTCACGATTAAACTGGAATACCCTTCTCTAGTCCAAGAGTGACAAGCAAGTTCATGTGCACCACCACAGACAGTTACAGTGACCACACTTCAGAATGTTTTGTAGTCAAACCCTTTTCCCCCAGGCCTGACCCTGCTTAGCTTCAGAAATCAGTTGCATACAGGATGGTATGGCCACAGTATCAAACCTTTTCTCACCTCCAAATCCCCTTTCTAAAACACAAGTTACCTGAGACACTGGGTACCTCTACCCAAGGTGTGAATAAAGTGAGGCCTCAATCACTGCCACTTTTGATCAACAACCAATTAGACCTCTTATCCTCCACTAGCAGTGAATTGTAGTTGTTTCTCAAAGCCACTTGGCACCTCTATTAACTGGCTGTGAACAACTCAAGTGCAGAGATGCTTCTTTCTTCGAGGTCCCCAGACCTTCGCTTTCTCTTTGCAATTAGTTGCTGCACAGGGCCGTGTCTGGGACGTGCTGACACACATTGAAGAAACACGGCATTTCAGCCACTGTGCATGAGACGAGAGAGCGCACAGGCTGAGAAGGGCGTTGAGCGCCAGAAGCCGTGGGCGTGGCCCAGCGCGGAGGCGGGGCTTCAAGGTGCTGGCCTCTCACCTCACCTGAGCCTGGTTGGGCCGGGCCCGCATAATGGCAGGGCTTGCTTTCCACTTCAGGAAGCGTCGCAGCCAGCCCATGGCTGTCTTTGGGGTCGCCGCCGCTGGCTCAGCCTTCGTTGTTTTGGTCTGCTCGCCCTGGCTGGCCGTGGAGGACTGGCTCACCAGTCCCGCCCGTTTGCGGGCCTCCCGGAACTCGGCTAACCTCCGTTCCATAGCGTCCGTCCGCCAGCTCTCTGGCGCGTGCTCGGCCCTTCCTCGGCCGCCTTGCGCCTGCGCAGGTGGCTCACTGTTGCGCCTGCGCGTTGCGGTCGCGTCTGGCCGGAATTTTACCAGGCATTGTGACGTCCTGTTGATTGCTTGTACACTGGAGCAGTCCTCTCTTCCTACGCTCGTGGACAGCGTGTCCATCTCCTCGGGCTAAACTATGAGAACCGTCGTGTATTCCTGGGTTTTGGTTGGGCCGCAGAACTCAGTTCTGACGTGTTTGCACCTCACCTCAGCAAACTGGTCCCCACCGTCCGGCCTCAGTTCCTTGGAGTATGCCTGCTGGGAGCCAGTGATCCGCACCACAGTGAGAAAGCCATCTCAGGACAAGGGAGGAGGCCTGTGATGTTTGGGAAGTTCCCCGTGTCATGAAGGCAGGACGCTTCCTACCTTCTTCTTGTTATGGGGTATGCCAACCTCGCTGAAGTTTGTGCACACCTCCATTTATTAATTTGTGTGTGTGTGTGTGTGTGTGTGTGTGTGTGTGTGTGTGTGTGTTTGCTTGCTACACTAGAAAGGTGCGCTGACACGACAAGTCAGAAATGTAAAACAAACGAACTTACTGCGGTTCAATTTAAAATATACAAATCTAAAAGGGGCTCAAAAGAGTGTAAGGGCCAGGGGTAGGAGGGGACCGGACTGAATCAGTGTCTTCTGGCCATCACGGGACCACGACACTCATGAACTCCCTGCAGCTGTGGTTACCTGCACAAGCTCAAACTAGCCGACATTCCTGGATAGGCTCGCAAGGCCCCATCCTTCTAGGGAAGGGGTAGTCAGTTTATGTGGGCTCTGGTGGATCAACTATACCCCAGTGGGTAGCGCACGAGTGGGAATCTATGGGCTATTTTCTAAAACCTGAAAAGGAGACAAGGTGGGAAGGGACCAGTGTGGGAGGAGTTAGGTAGAGGAGTGGGCATGAATATGACCAAAATATATTGTATGTGAACTTGTCAAAAATTAATAAAAAATAAAATATGCAGATTTTAAACTGTAGCCCCAGCTGTGCACTTGTGTAACTATTACCCAGGAAAGATCATTTCTAGAACTCTGGGTGTGCTTGCTTCTTCTCCCAATTTAGTATTTACACCAAAAATACAATTTCAGATCTGTTTTACAGATTCTTAAAGCTATAACCTAAGTACCACTTGCAGAATTGAGTCTCAGATATTTTTGGATATTGCTGAGTTTGAGTCAAAGAGCCAGAAAATTGAGTCCCATTCATTTACTAAATTTATGTTTGTCTGGGCTGTGTGTTGAGTACTGTACCAAGCACTGAGGATTGGGGGCAGGAGTCAGGGGGTCTGAAACGAAACAAAGACCATTATTTTCTACATGCTAACCAGGACGATGAGCAGCAGACAAATAAGCCACTTCATATTTAATGTCAAGTGCTGGTAAATGCTGTGAAGCCAAGCAAGAAATGGAGATGACGGTGCAGCTGTGACCAGTGGTCAGGGAGGACCTCTGGGGAAAAGTGGAGGTGGTGAAGCTGTGACCAATGATCAGGGAGGACCTCTGAAAGAAATGGAGATGGTGCAGCTGTGACCAGTAATCAGGGAGGACCTCTGAAAGAATTGGAGATGACAGTGCAGCTATGAACAGTGATCAGGGAGGACCCCTAGGAAAGAAATGGAGATGGTGCAGCTATGACCAGTGATCAGGGAGGACCTCTGAAAGAGGTTGCTATTCAAGCAGAGACTAAGTGAGACAAGTGACTGAAGCATGTGGCTGTCTAGTCAGGAGTGCTTCACTCAGAAGAAAGGTCAAGTTCAGGGTTCTGAGACTGCAGCTAGTGTGCTTGACCCCACAGAATCCTGAAAACCAGTGTGACATAATAGGAGGAAGGAGGGGCCGTGCCTTAATCTGCTACCTGTTTTGGTTGGAGCTGTTGGTTAGGAATTCAGTCTAAACCAATTGCCTCCAATATTATTTTCTATCTCTACTCATTACTATCCTGGATGAGTAATGCTGGGGGCCTCTCCTTTTCTGGAAGGAAACTGAAATAGAGGGATAATGGAATAAACATTGAAAATTTTGGCTATGGGTCTGGGGTGCCTGTTCTACATCCAGATGAAGGCTATTGGATAGTGACAACTGGATTTAGGAAGAAGTAGTAAATGAAGACCTGTAATGGGAACAGTTGGCTATGTGTGACATTTAAGCATAGAGGCCGAAATCAACTAGACAGCAACTGTGCACCAGAAAGTTATGTGAAGACTGAGTCATGAGTAAATTAGAGATGATAAGGTAGTGGAAATGGTGGGGTTTGTTTTGTTTTTGTTTTAAGATTTTAAATTATGTGTTTGTATTGTCTGTGTGTGCGAGTGCAGGTGCTTGTGGAGACCAGAGGAGGGTTTTACAAGTAGCTTGGTGTGGGTGGATTCTGGGAACTGAACTCCTGTCCTCAGCAAGAGCAGTAAGTGCGCTTAACTGCTGAGCCATTTGTCCAGCCCTCAAAGTGGAGTTTCTGTGCCCGTGTCATTTTAAGAAATTTCTTGTCCATCAGAAGTAGTAGGTCTGCTTTTCCCTAGAGACTGCAAATCCTTTTTGTTCATTGAATTTGTCCCTAAAACCTTGAAGCTGTGTTTATGATCCACATCTTGAAGGTATATAGAATTAATAGCATTAATGGGCTGTTGTGATCAGTATCCTTCATAGGAAATATGCTGCAGAAGGACCTCCAGAGTGGAGAGACTCTCACTCAAGTCTCGGGATAACACGACCCCCCAGGAACTCATGAGAGACCATCCTTGCTGCAATCACACGAGGTTTATTGACAGGACAGGAACCAGTGCACTGGGGCCGAAACTCATTTCCCATGCAGGGGGTAGAGAGTTTGACCCCAAGTAGCTGGGAGAAGGGGTATTTAAGGGAAGAAAATACAACCCAGTAATCCAAAGAGGGTAGGGAGGGCGTCATTGGAAAATTCCGAAAATACCAGTGATCATTGAAAAATTCAAAAAATACCAGTGATAATCACAAGGGGGTAACTCCCTGTTTCTCAAGATTATTCACGATTATAATCTAACTTTATCTTCAGCGAGTTCCTGAAACAGAGTCACTGAACCGGCTAACCTAGATTTTTGGCTCTTCTCTTCCAGCTAGAAGGGTCTGGATTTATCTGGGTTTTTCACTGCCTTCAATGGATTAAGTGAAAAGGGTTAATTAGGAAGAACTGACAGAATTAGGAAACCAATAAGGGATGATTCAGAGGACATCTTGCCAGCTTCTGGAGCTGGAACAAGAGGAGACAAGGTTGCCTGTGAAGGAGCACAGAGTGGGTAGGGAAGAGTGGGGAAAGGATCAGCTGAAGCAAATCGGGACTTTCCAGGCAAGGTCTGACTTTGTCCCTGTTGTATCTTAATTTGGTGACCATTTTGCATCTGTTGTGCTTTTTCATATCATGAATTTGTTCTGGTACTTTGTAAACTTAAGTCCAAAAGGAAGAGGTTGAAAGATAAGACAAAAGAAAAGATGAAAGATGTGATCTGCCAAGTCAAGTTCATTTCCTCTTGAGACAGACTGTGGGATAGACAAGGAGCTCAAGAGGTGGCACTTGCTGCTCTTGTAGACTGGAGGCCGAATCCCACCATCTGCATCAGGATGCTCACAGCCACCCTTGTAACTCCAGCTCCAAGGAATCCAATGCCTCTTGCCTCCTCGGATGCCCATATGAACATGCATATACACAGACATACACAGAATTGAAAATAATAAAGTGAATCTTTAAAAATAAAAGGAACTGTGAGAGAGTAAATAATTGTTTCCTAGAGGACTGGAGAGATGGTTCCAAGGTTTAGAACACTTGTTACTCTTAGAAGGGACGGTTCAACTGATGGTATTAAGGTTCCAGTATCACTCCCTTGAGTCCCTGAACAGACAGAACCTATGATTGAGTCCTATCATTGGTGCTTGTGAAGGGGGAAATGTGGGGGCCAGCCATGATAAGCTAATGGGCAGGTTACCCAAAGGAAGTTCTTTACTTCCAACCATTATCACCTGCCAAAGTAGAACTCATCATAAATTTAAATGGAGGCCTGAGTCTCAGTAGTTTACCCTGAGGCGATGCCTGTTTGCAGGAGGAACCACAAACTGAGATTACCCAACCGCCACCCAAGAATAGATCATTCAAAAGAAATGCCTGGCATTCCAACTGCTGTAGATAGGATCACCTGCCAGCACACACTCAACAGGACACCCCTAGACAAATGTCAGCCAATCAAAAATCCTAAATCTCAGAGACCCCCTCACCCCACCTTTACTACTATAAAAACCCAGTTCTAACTGAGCTCAGGGCTCTTCGTTTATTCCAATACGTTGGACATGCAGAGAGACCGAGTTTGCAAACTTAATTAAAATAAAGACTCTTTTACATATGGGACTTGGTCTCCTTGTTGGCTTTTGCAGGGACTTCGTGGATTTGGGCATAACAGATAGTACACAACCCTTCTGTAAATCCAGTTCCAAGGGACCCAACATCTTCTGTCTTTCTCGGGCACCAGGCATACATATGTTGCATGTACATACATGTGGGCAAACTATCATAAAATATAAAATAAACCTTTACATTTTTGTAAAAGAAGTGTTCTCTAAAATGCATTTAGTGTGTGATTTTCATGAATTTACTTTCCTTTGGGAAAGCAAAGGGGTGAATGGGTCTCACTACTGTCACCTAGTCACTGAAGCCAGGACTCTTAAATTTCTGACAGTACATAGAACCAGCCTAGATAGCAAAGAAGTATTTGGTTCAATATGCCAATTGTTCCAGTGTTAAAACCCCACTTAAGCAAAAAGAATGATAGTCTCTTGAAGCCTGGACCTAAAAAGATGTGTGTGTGTGGGTATACATTGTGTGTGTGTGTGTGTGTGTGTGTGTGTAGTAAACTTGTACAGATATCTCTTTCTTATCATTATCTAAATAAAAAATAAATTGTAGCTTCAAAAATAAGAACCACCTCATGCAATCCTATTGCCCAGTGTCACAAATCTAGGCCAC